CATATGTGTGTAAGAGAGACCATGAAGAACTGTCCATTTGCAGGGTTGTCACCTAATTGTGTATGTTTTTTCCAGTCCTTCAGAATTATAGCTATGTCAGAGAAAACTAAATGTGACTATAGCTCTCTAGAAATAAAGAAATATTTTCCTTAACATTATTTGTACCATACCCTAGATTTAGTGCCAAAAGTAAAGACATGGAAAAAATACACATAAAAAGGTAGCAAGCTTACTAAATAAATGGTCTGTGCCACTCATATTAAGATTTGGAACTAAACCTGATTTCCCCCTTTTTCCCTCATCCTCTTTGCTTTGTGTACCACACTGTAAAATTTAGACTGCAAGTAGGGGTAGGCAACCTTTCCCCTTTAATGGCCAAGGGACTTCAGCTCCCAGAAGCCTCAGCCATGTTGGCCAATAGTCCCATGTTGGCCAATAGCTCCTGGGATTCTGGGAGCTGAAGTCCCTCGGCCCTTAAAGGGGACAGGTTGCCTACCCCTGCTTTAGGGGATGGACTGCTATCTCTACAATCTTTTCTGGGAGACTTTTCTATTGAAATCTGGGATAATTAACCCTTGAATAAATAAGAAAAAAAATTCAAAGAATTTGACAGAGCTTGAATTCTTACCTGTCACAGTGGGAACTACCCCTTGAACTGCTCTGCCCTGACTCATGCTGAGCATCTAGAAGTATCTTCTCCATGTCTCCGTTGTGGATAGAAGATGAAGAAGGAACATGTTCCAGGCCTCCATTTTTTGCATTGCCATTGTCATTACCATTTCCATTCATTTGCAACTCTACCCAGGAGCCTGTTGAATAGTCAAATGTTTCATCAGAAACTATGAAACCAAAACCCAGCAAAGGTTTATCTTGTACTTGCAGAAAAATGCACCCATGAAAAATTTAGATAAACACAAGGAAAACATCCAGACAGCACCCCCTATTCTGCCGTTTATCTACACAGCAGTATTTAAAACTGCTTCTGAAACGCCAAAGTGTATTATGAATTAGCTACATGAAATAACTGTTCAAGGGACTGAGCAGGGTCTATTTGACCAGTAATTTTGGAAATGCATACTTGTGGATGGCACAGCAGTAGCTTCTATGATAGGAAACAAGAGAAATGCAGGAACTGTTGCTTACAGAAATTGCCACTGTGCCTTCCACAAGTAGACATGGAGTATTTGTTCACTTGCAATTCTACACAATTATATTGGCTCCTTTACTATCCTCAGACATGTGATTTCAATCAACAGGACTTGCATATTTGGGAAAATTGGAGACAGTTTGGATAGACAAGCCATTTCCCAGGTTTAAAGATTTAGAAAGTCAAACATACACCCGCCAACCCGTCTCTGGTACATTGTTTGCTACTTCAAGAATAAAGGATGACACACGTAGCTTATGTATATCTGCCCTAGGGTTAACATATTTGAAACTGAAGGTGGTCCTTCCTTTAGCATTTAATATACTAGTATACAGTTAAAAACTAACAACTTATGTACAGGTCTTTGAGGCTAGAGCTTATTTATCAGAAATAGTGCTTTCATCCAAAACTAAATATGGTATATTTTAACTGATAAAACAGACTTTAATCTGGACTATGTGGACTGACATTCTTGTTTAGTTATTAAATCTACTCTTA